TGATGGAGTGGACATGCTGAAGCCATGGATGAACTCTGGTAAAGGAAATTCAGCAGGACCAAAAATCTATGTGACTCAATTAAGGAGTCTGATGTGAATCACAAAATACTACTCCCTGATGTAACCTGAAGTATGTGAAGAACATCTGGATAAAAATATACCATTCAAAAATGATTTGTGGTGGCATTGATGTCATCAATCAATAACAAATTATTGTTTTTGCTTTAACACAAGAACAGACAACAATTAAGTGAATATGGTTTGCATGTTTTAACATGAATATATAACCCTGTTTGCAAAAAAGTTGGCACACTGTGCAACATGTAAATGAAAACAAAATGTGATGATGTGCAAAACATTAAAACCCCATATTTAATTGAAAATAGCACAACCACTTGGTGGTAAAGAATTCTGTGCTTTCACACCAACCTTAACAAGTATGTAGTTCCTGTATTTTAGGAGAAGACAAGGTTGTCCTTACAGTCAGTGCCATATCAAGTTTTTTTCACACATTATTTTTACTGTATATAATGGACAAAAAGAAGAGTTCTTCCACAATCATCCAACCATGCTGTTCAAACATGATATTTATGTGTTTTAACATTTTTTTGATTCTTACTCCCTTTGCAGAGACATAGTCATCTGTAGCTCCATCTCACACCAGCACTTGGAAAATGTGAAAACATTTGTAGCAATCAACTTTTCTATTGTTGATAATGTTTTGGTCCTAATGTTTCATGCTGCAGAACTGCAGAGTGTTTTCATTCCAGCCTCCAGATGTACATATATCCCTGCTATGCTACTCGTATTGGATACGCATTCAGGAATGCAGGTCCCCAGAGTTTCTGTGTTATGTTCAAATCATGCAGACATCTGTTTGAGGAAAAACACCATCCATTCAGATACTACCTAAGAAAAATGTATTTAACAATCTTTAGAACATAAACTGAAACATAACACCCTCCATTCTGGTGATGTGACAGTGACTTTTTTTGTCTGCCAAAATCATACTTTTTCGAGGAATTGTGAATCCCACATAGCCACAATAAAACCAGAGCTAATTTCAGACTTTCTGAGTTTTGAATACCACTTACAATAGCTATGCTTGTGCTTACAATGGCTGTTCACAACACCCACAGAAATCAAATCTTAGTTTTAGTTTTCCTCTCAATGATAACTGTGGTTTCAACATTGGACAGGATAATTTGATAAATGGAAGCAGTTTTAAAAGATTTTTTAGAAATATTTTATGATTAATCATATTTCTCAGCATCTTTGGAGTTTTGTAGATGGATGGGTATTTATTTCAAATCTGTTCTGGAGATTTAAAAGTGACCGTCGGGGGGTTCTGACAGCTGATGCCGCTGCTGTGTGATGAGTGTATTGGACAGATCCTGGTTCTGTCTGTCATTACTGTGTAGAGCTGCTGCCCACAGCTCACCACTCAAAATATTTCCTCAAAAATTAAGTGTTATTCTCATGTGAACACCACAAGCATCTGCCGCTAGAAAGCAAAAACACATTATCCCCCTGACCAAACGTCACACATGAACACAGAAAATTCTAAATGTAGGTGCAAACACATTACCACTGACTGGTTTTAAAAGGTGGGTAATTTGGTTGTAAAAATCATAATGTTTCCCCATATCCCTCCAATAAGATGAAACATTTGAGTGTTTGAAGGTTTCGCTTTACAGTAATAGCCAATGTAAGTCAGGAACATCTGACAAAAGTCCCTCTTGTGGACACATGTAGACTGGCATTGTCCTTCAGGTGACATCTTGCAAGTGCTTTTACATAACTCATTATATAAACTTGTTAAAAAGCTTTAGTGCAGACATTAGCAATATTTGTGATTAATTTGCTTGTGCTTGATAAAAGACCAACCTCCCATTTGTTACACTAATTTCAAATCCCTTGTCATAGTCGCAATCTCGTAATCCTATAATTATAGAGGAAATTGCCGTCAGGCAAGCAGCAATAAGCTCAGGGCGAAATTCAACTTTGATGCAAAGTGACCTCTAATCAGAGAATCAGTTCTTCCACCTCAATGTAAATGAATGCAAAACTCTCAAGCTGCAGCAGGAGTTTTTTTCTGTTTGTTCATTCTGCTTAACAGGTTTGTCCTTTCAGTGAACTCTGCCCTCTATCTCCAGCACAATGCCAATGTTGCCTGTTATATTTCTGAAAACAGGGTGAATCACCTTCTTCTACCTGACAAAGGAATTCATTATCCTTTCCCCCAGAGGACGCAGAAGTGGTCTTCTCAAATGTGTTTGTGGTATGGCTATGCTCCAAAAAAGAAGAGTCTGCAGTGATGAGCTAACAAGGACAAGACCGACTTCCAAACTCATGAATAAACTCTCAATTCAGGTCCTCAGTTTCAGCTGAGACACACCGAAAAATCCCACCCGCTGTAATAAATGCAAGAGCAGCAACATATTCACGGCAAGCAAGAAAATCAGCTCAACATCTCAGATTGTTGTTTTCTTCAGGTTTAATTTAAAGAGTGCTGACATAACCAATAAGCAAGCAGGCTGCTCTTTGACGTATTGTTTTTCACAACTAATTTGCAGGGAGGAAAGCCAACCACGAGTCGTCACTCTGGAAACTCCATTACTGTTGAAAAGATGCTATAAGTAAACCTCTGGTCTCTTTTGAGATAGTCACTAGTGTTCAAGCTGAGTTTGAACTGTCTAAATTCTCATAAATCACATGTCTAACATTTAACGGATGCCCTTCAGGGATGAGATGTTAATGACAGATATGATAATATTAATGTGACAATAGATAATAGCTCATTCATTAGGCTGTTGCATTCATATTATCTTTCCATGACAAAGGCTATTGGTGCAGCTGGCAGGGGCCCATATTTGGATTTCAGCGAAGAGACTAGGTGCCAGCAGCTTGACACCATGCCCACCTGACAATGCACTGGGAGAAAGACACCTTTTCTGCTCTCTGAAACAGGAAAATTGCATGTTATGTGATTTGACATAATGTGCAAGGAAAATATCACAAATATTTTACTAATTAAACTAATGGGGTGATTTATGCTCGGCACACACTGACCCCTGTAATGAACTGTACATCTGATGGCAAAACATGACTTGAATAATTTAAAGTGTGGAGAAGTTTGTCTGTTCACTTGATATTTAAAAGCTATTTATGCAGAAAAAGAAGTTTCTTTTGTATATCTATTTCATACAAAGATTTTTCAAATCACTAAACATTTTCTTTTATTCCACATTCTTATTATCAGGACAATTCAGCTTCCTAGCGTCTGATTCTGTCTGTAATAGTTGAGCGTTGCACTGGGTGAAGAGGCGTGAGGCCTCCATGATTAATGATAGCTTAGAGTCCCACACATCATCCTCTGTATGCCGGCACGTGCAGCTGCAAGTTAGTGGACTCTGAGCCAACATTTCACTGACTTGGGAAGAAGGGAATAGAGAATTAGGTCAACAGCAATCATTACCCACACTTTAGGTCAACAACGCAGATAGTTTATCGCCACGTTCAGCGACAATAGTGTCATTAAGCACGACATTAAGTTCAGGAAAATGCCAGAGTGATAAAAAAAAATAGAGTCACATGTCATTTGAATATTCTGGGCTGATATCGGGCATTTAATGTGTATTTAACCGAGTTGGTTAAATACACTTGGGTCTATTAGTGTGGAGATTAGGTACTGTAGAAAAATTAGTGTGGTGATGAGAAGGGCTGTATCATAAAAAAGCAAGTCCCTCCCCAATGTTTTTCTTTAGACACTCCCTTTGACCACAAAACAAATGCACCACGCTACCACAGATAACTCACAATCACTAACAACTAAAAGAGGCAAAACACAAAAACCATTAAATGATGTTCTCCATTTTAAACATTAATTGTTTCTTAGGGTTTGGTTAACTGTGGAAGAACATAACTCCACACCCACAAATATCAAACACAATGAAATTTTGTGTGTTCAGATAGAAGAAAAGATGTGTGCATTGATGATCTATACTAGTAACAATCAAACCTGTTATACCTTACACTTCCGAACATATCGTTCCAAATATCACCAAACTAGTGAAACAAGTTTGCAACGTTTCATATTAAACTTTAGAGACATTAAAGATTGGAATGTAGAATATCTTTATATAATATCTAAGCTTCCTAATTTTGTTATGACACAGGAAGTAACTGGCAAATTTCCACATGCATTCTGTGTTTCTACAAATGACATATTGGTCCTAATACATAAACAGGATTGTTATCCTCTGACATGCCTTTGGTGTAAGAGACCCAGGTTCAATTCCCCACAGCGACATATCCACCAATGTGTTCCTGGGCATGACACTTTGGATAAAAACGTCAGCTAAATTAATAAATGGTAAGATGTAACTTGGTCCTTTGCTCCAATACATTTGATGATAAATCTTAGAAAAGAAGCCTGAAATAAAATATAAATATAATAATTTTGATATAGCACCCTTGCCAATATCATATGCTAGCATGGTTTCATGTCAGCCTGCACAGGAGGATTGCAGCATGTTTACAAAATGGGCAGTCAGAAAACAAAAAAATACAACTCCTGCGAAAAACTCCTATGAATTAGAGGGTAACTGTTGATATGTAAAACAGTATGTAAGATCTGAATCGCCTCATAATAAGTGATCATAGTGGTGATGGTTGATTGTTTAAGCCTACTTCAGTAATGAAGGTAATAGTGGCTGAAGCCAAAGAGACGGGATGAAATTATATTAATGGAAAAATGTATAGCATGTTACACACGGTAAATTGCAAAAAAATATATTAAAAGCCTCTATATGAAATAATGCCCACATTCTTCATTTTGAGCTGTAAGATCTACACTGCTGGATATCGTTTTATGAATTAGTAGTGAAAAGACCAAGACCACGGTCTTGAATGCTGCTTTCTGATTGGTCCAAACGCACAACTCGTACTGTTCAGCGCTCCCATATAAACCCCTGCAGACTTAACATCGGTCCTATCTGTCATGCAAGTCAAAAGGATAGTGAGGAGTCCAGTGTAAAGAGATAGCTGGAAGCTTACTTGTAATAGCCTACATTTGTTCTGTTTTCGGCGCTGCAGAAGATTTGGTAGCGTTAATCTTATGAATTACACACAAAGCAGAAGGCGTCTCTTTACATTTAGTTGTATTATCTGTGTTGAGAGGACGATGCCTTTGAGGACCGGACTTTTTCTCCTGATGGTGCTGAACGCATCTGCATACGAACTGGATCAAAACGAGTCTTATTCGCCCAGGAGAGCACGCTTTTCTGTCAATAGCCCTTGTAAGTAACACGCCCCTTCTATCTGCATATCTCAGAGTGCACTGCTTGCTTTTTTACACAGCATTTCTACAATGCTCAGCCTTACCTTTGCTCGCTAACTATGTAGAGATTTTTTTTCTCACAATTTTTTTTTTTTTTTTTGGCCTATGCAGCCTTTTCTGTCTAAACGAGCGCATTGATTCATGGAGAAGGCTGCGGGATTAGCGCTGTGGTTAATGCCGGTGTCCTGCCGGCAACAGATGAGCATGAACCTTGGTGCTGACACCTGAGAGTGCAGGCTGTGTCATGCTGATAGTCTCTTCCTCAGTGCTCTGGCTGCTGCATAGGTTCCACTATTCAGCATTACATACATAAAGCATAGTGTACTTGAGAGGTTTTTCAATGCATAAAACATAAAGCTTCCTGTGTAGCCTTCCTGTGTAGCCTTCAAGTCCGAAAAGAAGTAGGCTACACCATTGTGGGTTTTTTTTCTCAGTATGCCTCAGAAAAAGCTACACTGTTTAGTTACTGGGGTCTTGAAACCCTATTACTTATAATGTTTTATCCATCAAAGAAAAGAAAGGCCTGGTAATAACCATCAGTACATTACACTGCAAATCATAAATCTGCATGGCTTGATTCAAGTGCTTTCCTTTTTAACACAAAGGTACTGCCCACTGATATAAGGCAATGAGTAACAGGGATGCTGGTTCCCTTCTGCAGGAATTGCTTCATCATCATACGATTTGCAGCTCACTCTCTGTATTTTGAGAACAATCTCTGGTCCCTGATGGCAGGCAGACTTTATCTGACTGTGCAGGTCAACATGGGGCCCCAGATTCGAAGTCTGCCAAGTAGGCTTAGGCTCCGCGGTGACAATACTTAATGGTTATTACAAAGGATTTGAGTCAGGCAGCTTGCCATCGCAGTGGATTCTTGGATGAGGAATAAGGAAAGCCAACTATCTGGTTATTCTGATTTACAGATGATGTTTTATAGTCTCTGTCTTGGTGTAAAATTTCATGTCGGTTGCAGGGACTTGGAAAATGGACTGAATTATTGTGGGGTAGCTGTTTCATGTGTTTTACAAAGATGGGGATCAGGGTTACTTGTGGGCTAATCAGCCTAATAACTATTCCAGTCATGTGACCATTCTAAAATGAATATGGCAGCATTTTCTGAATGTGTACTTCATTATGTAGATGTAGATATTGTTGGATCAATTCTGGATGTTTATCTGGACTGTGACATGTGCTTAGTTAATAGCGAATATAAATGTGGTTGTGAGGCAGAGTCCTCAAATTCAGCTTGTGTAAAATTGAGAACAGAGTCTGGTGGCAGCATGTGTGTGTGTGTGTGTGTGTGTGTGTGTGTGTGTGTGTATGTGTCTGTGCCAGCGGTACAAGTGTATGTTTGTGTGTGTCAACAGGCACGCCAACAATTTTCAGGAAACTCTTTGGTATTTCTGGTGCTGCTCATCCAGGCTTTGCTGAAAAGAACAGTAGAATATACATCCCTGCCAAAAGAAAAGTGCAGTTGTGCCAAATAGTGTCTGAGTTGTAAGGTGTCTAATCTCCAGTCAAGTCACTATTTGCCCCGAGTGACTGTATGTCTTTTGTGAATCACCAAAGTATGAAAATTCTCTTTTGTTCGCCACATTTTTTTGTTGAAACCCTGACAACCCTTGTGTAATGAGCTCAGTGAGTGTGCAGTGATTCCCAGTGAACCCACTGTTGGCTCCCCTGCTGATGGTCCATTCTCTGTGCCCACAGCAGATGTGGCACGCTGTCTCAACAGTGCCCTCCAAGTTGGCTGCGGAGCCTTCGCCTGCCTGGAAAACTCAACTTGTGACACAGATGGCATGCATGACATCTGCAAGTCCTTCCTATACAGTGCTGCTAAATTTGACACTCAGGTATACACTTCACTAATTTCACAAAGACTACACGCAGTATGTCATTCTCTCTGTTTCTACATGCTGTGTCGTATTATATGGGTGTAACTGTCAGGGCAAGAATGTGTGAAGCACTGCTGTTTTTTTACAGGGTAAAGCATTTGTGAAGGAGAGCCTTAAGTGCATTGCCAATGGCATCACCTCGAAGGCATTCTCCACCATTCGCCGCTGCTCCACCTTCCAAAGAATGATATCTGACGTCCAAGAGGAGTGTTACAGCAAGCTGAATATCTGCACTGTTGCCCGATCGAACCCAGATGCTATTGGTGAAGTGGCACAGCTACCAAGTCACTTCCCCAACAGGTAATCAGTACTGTATTATTTACTATATGCTTATACTTTAAGAACAAGTTGATCGAGGTTATGATCTGGTACACATTGTACATGGCTTGTTAAGTGGCATTCAGGAAAAAATAACAGTCATTTCAGAGTTTGAAGCTTGTGATGTTCGACAGGCTCTTTGAACATAAACTCTTTTTTTTTTTTTATCCAGTGAAGGAAACAATCAGACAGTAAATACAGCTGTCATTCATTTTAAGTGAATGGGAGACATGTGTTTCAATCATCACATAAATGACAACTATACATGACTGGCATGTTGCAAATACCCCTCTGACCCTGATTTATGCAGCAAAACAGATGGCTTCATTTGTATTGATTTCTGTGTTTTGGTTACCATCTGCTTTATACATTCTTTCATACAATGAAAGAAAATGAAACAGGAATATCAAGTTTGCATGTTTTCCTTCCTATTGTTGTTTTACTACATGTAGGATAAGTTGGGAGTAGATACAAAAAGGCTGGGAGGGTGGAGCACAAGGCTTAGTAGTAACAGCAGAGGGGGTGGTCACTACCAGATGGATGACTACAGAGACTATAGAGCACATGTGCAAATATGTATAAATACCTATGAAGATTTGAACTGTTAGAGGCATTAAACAGGAATATATTGTAGCATGCTGTACATTTTACATTTTTGCCCTTTAGTTTTTGGTTTCTTCAGTCGCAAAAGACATTCTGTGGTGCTTTGTTTTGTTGTCCTAGGTTTTATGGTAAGCTGCTACAGAGTCTGATGGACTGTGATGAGGACACGGTGGACCGCGTTCGGACCAGCATGGTGTCGCGGCTGGGCCCAGAGATGACCATGCTTATTCAGCTGCTGCAGAACAAGCCCTGCCCATCCACTGCTGTGGCTGCAGCTGCCGCCATCCCAACTGGAGTGGAGGGCCGTGGGAGCTGGCGCTGGTCCATGGGTCCCCATATGTACAAGATCCAGCCTAATCTGCGAAACAGAGACTCTGCCAGTCATTTTGGCAAAAAGCGCTCTGCCAGTGACAGCTCCTAACTTCCACTCAGATTCAGAAACTCCACACACACTCCTTAAAACATCACGAAAGCTCCTCTATTCCCTAGGGGTGATAAAATACATTCCTCCGCTAGACTGGAAGTTACAGAAATATGCACCTCTAGGGAATGCTGGAACGCCCATAGAGTTGATATCAGAGTTTGATTGTTGTTATATTGTATATCCTACACTTTAGGCTTGAGAGATCTCCCCCTTCCATCGACTATTTTCAAACGTGTATGCTCACAGTTAGTGTTGAACATGTGGCTGTTGCATCTGCGCAACATGGTCCTGCACACTCCTCTTCACCTCCTCCAAAGCAAATGAATCCTTAAGATGTCTTTTAATGCCAAGCAAAAAACACAAAAACAAAAACAAAAAAACTAAATAAACAGCCATAGTGTTTCACGCCTCTAGAGCACAAGTCCGTACACAAATCTCATAATCCAGACATTTGTTCATAAATAGAGATCAGTACCTGGATTATTATTAGTTCATTGATAGAAATGAGAAATGATTGGTAGATGTATTTAATATTTTAGTGACAAGGCCAGTCAAAGTTTGAGCATGTGATGTGGAAATGAGTTTCATATCTATTTTCTGACACTAACATAACAGATAAAATGTACTGTATACCAAGTTATCTAAGACAGCCATAGCTAGCCCTCTAAAGAGTGCTCATACAGAGCGAGGTCTGTAGAGGTTTCGTGATAACCTTTGAGAGGTTACCTTAAACTGACCAAATATCTACAAACTGCCCTGAATGCTATTCATGAAATACCAAAAGAGTGTATAGCTATAGCACTTATAATAGTTTTTTTGTGCGTGTGTTTTTTTTTCTGATGGCAGATGTCGCCATGGTCATGTGTTTCAAATCATCATCCTGCACATAAGGATTGTCCACATCATGGCCAAGTCTAACTATTAGAAAAAGTCAATTTTGCATATCTTGTATCCAGACACTTGTAATGCATATGACTGTTGAGCTCTACAGCATACGTGGGACCATGTTTAGTGGAATCTGTATCCATGTTCTTAACTGAGCATGAAGCAGTAGTGTATGTGCAGTAGCTAATTAGCACGTTCACCAATGAGACTGAGAGCAGCCATCTTCTTGGACTGATGATCATCATTCTCTGAGGTGAATAACGTGACATACACACTGGCTTCCAGTGTCAAGATTGAGAATGACTATTTAAAAAAAAAGCCTTGTTGGAATGATATTTATTTTCCTACTATATTATTTAATGTTTTTTTTATTTTAATGCATTATTGTAGTTTTAATTAGTTTACAGATTTTAAAAAAGCAGTTCAGTCATGGCTCCTATTTGAACATGAGCTCTATGCCAAAAAAAAAGTGAGCTGACACTCTGGTGACTGAATGGGACCCATGTCATGACTCTGTGCTGGTCATAGGGGAACAAGGTTGGTCATTCAAGTCAGGTGATCTTCTTCATGGGTGTTACAAGGGACCACAACAAAATGATAGCTTAATTTTGACACACTTTCTGGTTGATAAAAAGGTTGTCATTGCAGCTGCTAGATGTGCTTGTTCGCCGCTGGAGGCTTGTGCACATTATTGAAGATTGGCCAGGTATAATGACAGTAAAACCAACACCAGCATCAAGAACACTCATAGTGAAGTTTTGATGGTTCTGCACTGGTTTGCATAGGCTAAAATAAATTTTCCTTAAGATGCCTACACAGAGATCAGTTCTAGTTGTAGCTAGTGATTATCTTCATCCCTTGATTTTTTTGTTTTGTTTTGTGATTGTATTGTATTATATAATTTATCTATATTATAAAGTAGAGAAAGAGATGGGAAAGATCCAAGAGAGATAATAATCTGTTTTGGCCCTTTGTCCCAAAGTCTTTTTTTTATAGTCCCATGTTAACAAGTAAGTAAACAAAAATCATAGAAAATCGCCTGACAACATAAGCAAACAACCCTGTGACTGTCATCAGATGCTGATTCAAATGTTGCAAAATTCTGATCGGTGCTCTGAAGTATTTAACAATGTATGGGTTGTTGGTGAGGTGTATTTAAATGACAGGCTGTCTCACTAGGTAAGAAGTTCAAGATGGTTTGTGTATATTAAGAGGCATCATAACTGTACATCAGTGTAACAAAAAGTCCCAGTAGATGTCATCCATTTAGCAATCCCCTTCCAAAAACAATATATGAAATCTGAACATTTTTGCAGATACGACTGTATGTTTCATGGCCTTCAGGGATTGAGACAATCTTTCAGAATCAGTAGATAACTACAGAGTCAAGTCACTGAGAAGGGTCTTAATGCTGGTGTTTGTTTTATCTATACTTAGTAGATAGATGGTGGTTTGCCATTCACTTCAATTAGATAATTAATGGCTTAAGTTAGTTTCTGCTTGGGAGTAAATTGCAGATACATCGTGCACATTAAAAAATGCAATATAGAGATGAACTTGGAACCAGGGCTGGGTTCAGTTCATTTCTTGAACATTCAAACCTTGCAAATCAAGAATACTTTGATAACAAAATGATAAGGAATTATTGGGCAGAAAGGGTTTGCTTGCCTGATTTTTTGCTTTGACTTCACGAAAGGAATTTAACCCAGTCCTGTTTGAAAAAAAGTGAATTAACATATTGTCCTGGATTGATATGAGCGAACAGACCAGAAAAACAGAGATGTCACTGTCAATTTAATAGCTATGTTAAGATTTCCAAACTATGCAATAATCTCACATACAAAGGATTCACAGCAACACATAAATTGACCTTTATTTCATTCAGTGCCAGCCAATGCTGTGTGAATAAAGCAGCAGCATGTATGCTTTCATACTGGACTCACAGTGTGAAGGCATTGCTCCTCTATATTACTTTCTGTTTCTGTGGTTTTTGTAAACTAGTGTTTCTTTTTGTTCTGTGAATATGATCATTTCTTTTGTGTCATTTGGTGCAAAAGGACAGCAGTTCTGAAGGAATCACTTGGGAAGTTAAGAGCTACACTGTAGTGTATCCTAGCTTACTATTTTATGGTAAATATGCACTTTGCATCTTAACCACTATAAAGGGCATTGAAACATTCAGCACATTTGCAATTAAGGCATGTTTTATTTACCCAGTGAATGGAAATCAGTTTGAATATTTCGCATCCTGAAGGGTCAGGGCTTCTTCATGTACTATTGATACATATGTCTGTATCTTTGTTGTCCATGGGTAAATCCAAAACCCAACAGCTGCTGCTAAACTGTTACTTCCCTGTATGATGCTGTCCAGATGCCCTTCCACTGTGGCCGCTCAGATCTGTCAACACACAGCGAGCTCAGCATCGGTCCACATTTACACATTTTCTTTGTCCATCCATGTCTTCATATTTATTTTCTATGAACATTCCTTGTGTCAAACATATTTGGCAAGGGCAAATTGACTGTTTCCTCACCAAGTCAAATGTAATGGTAATTTCAGAGAATGTACCTGTATACTGAATGTCTGTTTTGACGAGGACATGCCCAAGTTCAAGTGACCCATGAAGGCTGTTAGAAAATACAAAAGTTAGAAAAGTATATGGTTTTCAATTACTTGTTGTTTTTAATTCAAGTATAGGGTGCTTAAGGTGGTACGGGAGCATTATTAAATTGGCCCACGGTGAGTTTTGTGAACACTAGAGACTAAAGACTCCCTCACTTCTGGCTCTTCATGGTACTCTTTCCTTTTAAGACTTGAAATAGATTGATAAATGTTGCGCTTAAACAAAATCAAAAAGCTTCGGTGACTAGTAAAGTTTATTTTGTATTCATAAATACGTGACAGTTATTTTACTAAGATTCAAAAAGTTATCGAGGATTTAAGATTGCTGAGGTTCCTGATGCTATGTAACGCATGATTGACCCTTGTGAATCACTTGCACTTTAAAATATACCCATATACATATATACCCATACTGTGTATATGTTTGGGTTTTTCCTCTGTACTGAAAAGTCATGAAAGATACAAATGCATCAATTGTGTGTCTTTTGCTGATCAGAAATAAAATATTTATCATATCTGGCATATGGTATGAAATATGTTGCTTTGCTCTTGTTTCACTTATTTGGATACATTATCACTTGCAGATTTGCATCAACATCTACAAATTTGAAATCCTTTAGGCCTCTACATTGTTTTCCATCAACTGCCCTAAAACATTCAGGAAAGTGCCGCTGACTTAATGACTTTGGTTTATTTATTTATCAGCAAACACCAAAATATGTTGTTTAATAGATGGAAGCTGATGCATACTCAGTAAGGCCTGACCTACCGGTTAGATAAACTTAGAGAACACATAAGACAAAAGTATCATAATGCGATTATCAGTGAAAGTGTCAAATGTTGTCTGATTAAGACATGAAGTTTATGATTGCTAATTCCATTCATCAAGCACCTCTTTTACCGGACCACGAAATGTGAAATAAATGTGTCACCCATGACACCATGATAATATCCAGGACTATTGGTATTTCTAACGTCCTCAGCAACATGAAAAATGAAAACAGGCTCAGTCCTTGGGTTGCCATCATCCCAAACGCTTGGCACCAACTTTCAAAGAGCTGCATCAATGTCGGTTTTATCCTCATACTCTCAAAACTAAAAGAACAAGCTGGAAAGAAAAAAATGATTTTGGACGTTCATCTAACAGGTAATCAAGGCACACTCCAGCTACAAACTTTCAGCAAGTGTGGCCATAACCTGATCATCAACTTTTGTTATCAGGCCTCAGTGACATTTCAGTCTGCCAAGTTGTGTGAAATGGATGTAAATGCTGAATCGTGGGGATGTGCAATCTTAACCTATGAGAATGTAGACTCAGTGCCTACAGGTGTATGCTGGGGGCAAGGTGGGGCTTATGAAATGTTTTATGAAGCATTTCAGTGACAGTAGCAGCAAATGACAGCATTAGGTTTCAGGTTGCCAGTATGGCGGCAAAAAAGGTTGCAGAGCACTGGCACATTAAACCTGCAATTACTGATTTTCTGGCCACTTCAGGGCAGCAGAAACAAGCAATGGACACAAAATTAAAATATCCCCTTTGGACTTGATATGGCTTAATTAGCATCCAGGTGCTTATGACATGTCCAAGAGATACAGAGAAACATCACCAAATTTTAGCAAATTAATTCGGAGTTGTGTTTCTGTCCAATACTGGTTCTTACTAAAAGTAACTGCTGTCCCATTTACTGTACGCTTACCTGCAGGTTTTCCACTTTGATGACACTAGAGTGACACAAATCATAAGCACATCACATTGCTTTAGTTTACCACATTCCTTTTGTATATGTGACAAATCCTGCAGGACCCACAAAGGAAGATGAAGGAGAGCGCCTCCTGATGAAAATGAACTTTCTTAAACTTGAGCACAAACGAGCTGAGACTGCAAAGTGCCTGCTTGGTTGGAGAGCCTGAGGAAAAGAGGGGGCAGAACGCATGAGGCTCCATGGACGCTAATCTCAGTCAGAGGGAGATATAATTTCATGCCTATTTAGAGAAGAGTCCTGAAGGGCTTTCTCATCAGCCGCTCTCCAGTCTCATGGATAGGTGATGCAGCAGCTGTGCACACAGATTCTATCGTGCTCTTCTTTAAAGAGACACTCACTCTCAACTCATCAATGAATTTAGCACAAGCATGATGGACAGAACAAAACACTTAAAAAATGTGTCTCTCACTTTTTGCTCAGTTACATAGCAGCAGTTATGCAGTGGGTAATGTTTAAAAGCAGTTGGGATGGACTTTTAGCTTTCAACACGTCTTATTAACAGTATACATTTGAACAGATTTCACTTTGTTGCCTGTCGCTTGGACTGCTGCAGAGTGTATCACCACCCTGACAATCACAACCAGGGCAATAATGAATAATGATGAAATTAGAATATAAAATTTATGCAGATTCAATTCATGCCATCTGTTTGAGTTTGACATTAATGCTTTTTAAAGCTGGTAATGAAACAGTGCCTCATTTGAGCCATCAGATACAACATTATGATACCTTCTGCTTTGAAACAATGTTAAAATATATCTACCTGCAACGCTCACACTGTCACTCAAATATGAGTGATAAATGCATGCATTTCTGACAAGCGCACCTCTACAGAGCACTCTGATTTTCACAGTGGTGTGCACAGCACTGAGCTGATGTAAGTTCTCCTTGTACAAACAGAGTGGCTGTGTAGTCATTGATCATCAGTGTCTATGGAGCTCCTGCATACGAGTTGCAGGCAAACAACAACCATTGTGTGGCATTGTTTTAACCTCTTGATCAAATTCTGAGGGAGGAAAGCACTGTATCCATAGTGCATGCATAGTGTTAGTGTGGTACATCTATTGCCTCTCCCCTCTCCCAGTGTGTTTTATATTCATTATGTCCTTCTCTTTCCCATGAAACTTGTGGCATATTCATCAGCAGTGTGACAAATTAGATGTGCAGTGAAATGGAGTATGACTGAGAGCAGTGGAAGATTAGATCCACTCCAATCTTACCCAGCAATCACTATCCCTTCTTTTCTGTGGGGAAATACCCATGGACGGGAAATAAAATTAGATCAAATTTTACTGGAGTGGCAAGGGAAAGAGATGAAACAGAGCATTATCCATTCCTGCCAAAGTACCTCTGGATTTGTCTTAGAATCAAAAGCAATAGAGTTTTTTCTTCTCAATATGCTGAAAACAATATACCAAACATTTACAAACATGGTTGCACAGTTGCACAGAAAATATAGGTGGATAGATAATGTTGTCTATTATTTTTTCAATTTGCAGAACACTATGCCATTTGTGCACCAAAGTCTGCTTAAGCCAATCAAATTGATGGAGCCAATTGAGCATCATATTAAGTCACTTCACTGGTGCAGTTGAAATGCTCTTGAACGCTCTCGAATGTTGCTTTCTCTCACAGTACCTGACTATTTTAACAGCTCTCCAACTGAACAGTGAACATTGGAAAAGACCGGCAGGTTTCACCAATATGGATGAAGTCATGTTCCACACGATGTTATAGTTTTTAGCTTTCCTTTGCGCCATTTGTCTTACACTACAGCTTAGCCTTTCTGTCAGACATGGAGGATATGATAAGACTTAGAGGAACACGACTACACATGACAGGGTCATTGAGGACGTTGTAAGGAAATATTTCAAGTTCAGTCTCAATGAAAATGCAACTGACAAGATGAGATGAAGATATATATATATATGCTTTATTTTTGCAGTTGCATCAGTGTGTCCTACAATTTGTGAAGTGCACTCTGCAGGACATAAATGAATGCTATTTTCTGACTTATTGATCATCAAGGTTGGCGAAATGAATCCCTTTATTAAAGCCCTTGGCATAAACACAGTGCGGCAGAGACATCTAGTGGCTGAAAACTGGATGTCACATATGTTCAACATGTTGAAACGCAATGTTAAAGTCGTGTTTACATTTCCATCACTGTTATAGCCATATCGCTACCAGGAAGCCCAGAGAACGCCTGAATAAGTAAGACAATACTGGTTTACTGTAGGTAATATGTCTGCCATCTGAAACACTGCACAATTTGGCTCTAATTTGGTCAAAACATGACTACAACAAAGGATGTGTTACTGCTGGTATACTTGCCTCACAGTAAACTACATTAAACCATTTTCTGGGGTTTATGAATTAAGAAGTGTTTAAGTACAGCCAAAATATGTTAAAATACCTACATCATGACTGACCATTAACATTTCAAGAAGCAGTAATACAAATGATAATAGTAGGGGTTTAAATTAGTGTAGAAGAGCAGGTGATGATACATGAACATGTGGGATTGACATTTATCTGGTCAGATGCATCAGAAGACTTTGACAGATGATGCAATTGACGCTATTATGCTTACACTTATTATTATTATTAAAATGCAAACATTGATTCACATATTGGTTACAATGACCCACAAATTGTCTGATAAGGTGGAAAGTGTTTGAAAGTATTCGTGGGAATCTGAACCAGATCCCTAGATTTTGTCATACTGTAATGGGTGCAGTATGTGGATTCAATGTTAATTTCCAGGGGTACAAACATAATGTATAAATCCTCCTCTAGTAGAAGTACTTTTACGTGACTTAGTAAGATTACATGTCATAAAACCACACAACTAAAAGTACAAAAAATGCTCAGTTACATTTACATAAGGTTGCAGGCAATGCAGTATCATGACTGTAACCATTTCAAGACAAATATACAGTGCCAATCAATCCCAAATACACTCATGACTGTAAGATGTCTCCATAGCATAGAAAACAGGTTCAAAGCAAACACCTTGGTTATGGTAGCAAAATGGTACACTACTCTATTCTGCCTCTCCTAACATATATATAAATACACTCTAAAGCTGTAGTTCATGTTTTCCTGATCATGAACCTTTCATTGATACACACTGGTATTAGGTTGGTTGTTTTGGAGGTAACTTATAGGTCCTCTCTAACCACTTGAGCACCCTGCTGCCTAGGATAGCATCTTTCTGCTTCAGTGTCTCTGTATAAACCCAAATGCATCCCATGGAGAATATGAGGAAATGCTCCCATATCTCAGAACTACAGAGTAAGTCTACACTAAAACGTCTCCCTCTCTCCTGAAAGGAATTGTCAATGTCACATAACATTTTGATGAGTATATTTAGTTGCTTGTTGGCCACAGGATTGCTGGGTTCAGTTTCACTCAGTACAAGACACCTTTATCTCCTCTTTCAGCTGCTATCAACCTCCTATTTTGCTGTATGATGAATTAGGGGTATTTTGTGGTAAACTGTACTTAGCAAGCTTCTTATGTTACAGTGAGGGGACAAATGGTGGAATCAATAGGAAAGGCTTTGATTTTAAGGAACAGGAGTCACAGAAACTCAGAGAGGGCATTGCTTTAAGCCCCCAGAGAACTCTGCTGTAATTATAAAGTAATTTACCCATCAAACTGGACACCCTGAAATCCCCAAGGTGTCAAACAATTCAAAGTTGACTTCAGAGTTTTTTTACCCTCTGCTTTTGAAGTTCAGGTTTCTTGGTTTACGAGATGTGTTGGTT